AGAGCTGCTGTCAGACGAACAGCTGTGCGGCGTCATCACAAACGGACGTCGCTTCACGTGACGCTCCGGAGGAAAGGACGTCCCATTGCTCTTAAAACTCATTTCCCTGCTTCTCGTGGTTTCCTTGCGTCTCTCCATGCTTCCCTGGTGGGAGGGACTAGACGCAGGGAAACGACGCAAGTGAGGGACGCAAGGATTCCATTTAATCGAAGTGAGATGCAGCCCCGGGTTGCGGTCGAATAGTCCAAAAATCAGCTCCTAAGTTCTACCCCTATCGTCTATTCCTTGACCTCTGAGTGAAACGTCACGGGGTTAAGGGATAGTGGATAGGAGAATTCAAAAGGATTTAGGAGAAGAGACTGCGGTACTTTAGAGAATCGACTGCACTTTCACTATCCGACGTGTTTATGATGCGCCAGCGGAGGTCATAAATGTGCTGTGTGGGGAAAACTATGGAAACTACAGTTTTCTATACAGCGGACTACAACATGGATGTTTAATAAGAACGAGGGACTACTGTAAACTCATCTAGAGACTCTGCACCGTGCTCTGATGCTGTTGTTTTATGCTTTATGAACGGGGACAACAGAGAAACATATTCTTCATGACCAAAGTTGGAATTGAAATAAAAAAGGAAAGTGAAACTTATGCTCGTCACCCTCTCCCTCCGGTCCACATTAATACAAATGATCCCAATAGCCTACGTATGATTGTATGAAAAGATCTTAAAATCAATACAAATGTATTTATTATAAACGTTAGTCCTTAACATCTATCACTGTGTATATCACCATTCAAACATCTTTTAAAAGTTGAACAAACCCCACACAGCTCAGTAAAGACTGTGAAATGTTGACTTTATTTGATCATTTCAGTAAAAACTAACGTTCATATTTCTCTTTTTGATTATAATACTGATGAACGTTCAAAACAAAGCACTTTGGCAACTTACCACATATGTTGTGTGACGGAAAATGCTGCGGCCGCAAGGCATTGTGGGGCAGCATCTTCTCCTCTCCTTTCATAAAGGAAGGTCCAGTGGTTCTAAGTGGGACTAAGACTAAATAAAAAAATAGCTGCCAAAATTAACACTGCGGTCTTTTCTGTGTTAGAGGTTTACTCGCTACAGGGTGTACTTTGAGGGTGTGTGACTTTGCAGAACGTTTACATGCATAAAAAGCTACATAACACACAAGGGGACGGGTAACAACCGGAAAAGCATGTCCTGGGACCTTGAACACTACTTTATGATATTTAAGCATAAATGCAATCTCCAGAAGTAAAAAGCTAACATCACGGTCACATGACTTCACGTCACCAACGCTAAGCTAAAGGTGGCTAATGTTTGGTGTGCTATCTACGTTTAGTTAGTATCCGCTGTTTTTAAGACACGTAGAAAGTGGGACATTCACCAGTTGGGTATTAACTGACGTATTTATTCTCGTAGAACAAAACTTGAAAATATCTTCAGCTTGTGTTAACCACAGACCTTATTTCAGGTAACTAACCAAAAACATGTAAAAAAAAAACCTTGGACTTTCAGTCAAGAAAAACGGAAATGCTAAAATGCTAACTCATTTTCGGGTTTTAGTGCTCATTCCTGCACCACTCTATTGAACAGTAGCAGCTTTAATATGGGGCCTGCATTAATTCTCACTCTACTGCGCAGCTTCTAAAGCAGCTTGTGTTTTCCTAGTACAGCTTTAAATCTGCCCTGGGTGCCAAGGTCACAGCATTTGGCAGCCATTAATCCATTAAGACGCGGGGGTTGGACACACTTTAATACACCTGCCCTACACTTCCTTTCACCCTGTCTCTCTCTGGCTTTCCCTCTGTCTTCTTGCTCCTGCTCCTCTCTGTTTTATTTTTCTTGCTTGCTTTGCAGTTTTGTCTAAAAAAAATCACTCTTTCTGAATGAGGATGGTGAAGCAGCAGGAACAGTGTTCAGGGTGTTTTGCAGTAATGCGCTGTGTCCTTTGACTCTTATAGACCAGACAGTGCATCATCCGGATGAAACGATCCTCTCATGTTCCCTTTAGGAAATCCCTCCTCAGTGTCAGAGACAGTTTTCATAGCAGAGGAAACCAAAATGCAGATATAATGTTAACTAAATCACTTTCACTATTTCCTGATCACCAGTCACACAAAGTATTTGCTATTATCAGCCCTTCAGCAGGATCTAACTAATACCCTGACCTCTCCTTTAGTTTTAAGGTGTCACATTATCAACATATCTTTAAAAATATATGTTAATTATTTGTTTTAGTAAATAAAGTACTGGTTGTATGACAGTTGAATAAGTCAATACAAAATCTATACAAAAAGGAAAAAGTACTTAACTCAGATGCATTTTTTTATTCCTTATTTTAGCAAAAAATGTACTATTTGTATAGTCTTTATCTTTTGGATTAATTCTCATCTGATGTGCTTCAATCATCTGAATATCAAAGTCAACATGAAATTAAAACTAAAAAGGAGAAGAAAAGAAATAAATTATGAAAAGAAATATGATAAAATGACAGATGAGCAAATGGAAGAGCAAAGGGGAACATATATATATATATATATATCTTTAAATAAATACATTTGCAGTCCATTTTAAAATGTATATATTTTTATTATTGGGATATGTTGTATCGTAACAATTATTACAATTTATTATCAAAAAACCTAATAATAACATATATATATATAATATCCCATTGGTATATGAAACTATCTTCTGATTGTCAATTTACATACGAGAACATCTTTAAATACACTTAAGACTTCACAGATGAAGGTTATATAATTGTAATCAAGCTTTACTTACAAAGGTATTGAATTCATTCATCATTAACTAATTGTAATAATGACTTACCTATCAGGTATACAGAGCCAATATCATTTCCCAATGTTACAAAGTTTCTGTTGTTACACTTTATTTGTTATTATATTTGCATATAATTTGTGAATTTTGCCTAAAAACAAACGTTTATAGAGTGCAGAAATGCATAGATGATATTGTATAATATTATAAATATGATTTGCATTACTACTCAACTACAATTATCTAGTTATTTGGGAAATGTTGCATCTATCATCCTGTACAGTATTGCTGCTACTTATTACATGTTCCTGCATCTCCAGGTTGATGCTAATTGTAATTCTTATACTTGTTCCATCTTGTTCAGACTACATTAGTAACGATATTTTCCAGCTTTTTCATAATGACCATCACCAATTATAAAGCAGTAAACAGAACACCAGGCACCATCTGTTGATTGAGAAACATCCCTCTGTGTTTCCTGTCAGTCATTATCATCTGTTCACCTTTATAGTTTTCTCTGACCTTTCTTTATGATTCTATTTTGGTATAAGTATTTTCTTGTGGGTGTCCGACGTATGCTTGACTCTTCCTTCTGGGGGAGGAAATAATGAGTAAACACTTCTAACCTCCCTCTATCCTTTCTATAGATAGCAACACAATCCTATTACAATTATCCTGAAATGTCCTAGCAAGGGCTGCAGGGTGAAGACTCTGACTGCACATGCTTCAGTTACCTCACTCAGAAAGGACATACAGTATGAGTTTTTTTAACAGAAGTCTCATGGGGAAGTGTTGAGTCCTCTAAGTCTATGTTATATGTGAGCCATACTGTGAGAAGTAGCTTCAGATTAGCCAAGAGCAGGGATGAATGGGGGCTGGGGGCAAACATTGTCTCAAATCACCTGTGAACTTACATATAGGGGGGAAATATATAATCATTCCCTTCACATTTTACTATGCAACTTGTAAGATATTCATATGTTAGGCCTGGTTACCAATTCATTGAAGGAGCAACCTTTCTAAATTGCATTTTAACATAATTGAAAGGACTCTAAAGGAAGTATTGTACTATCATTCATCAGGGGAAACAAATTTAAAAATAAATATTACAACACAGGACAAAATACGTTTTGTTAAATTACAAAATCTTTCCCTTTATGCAAATGCATTCATTGGGTCTTCCCTCCAGTGGTTAACATAGCCATATTATATATATTTTTTTTGGACATATTACTTCAATTTCTTATGTTTATATATCTTATTTGATCTTATATTGCATAGTTCTAATTCTTATGTGTTGTATTTTTATTTTTTATTCAGTCTAAATGGAAAACAGGCATACTGGTTCTGATTCCGATTCTATGTTTTTGTATTCTGGAGACATCACCATGACATCATCATGATTATCTTTCAGACTTGACAAAGACACATACATTTTTTTTTTCTGTTTTCACTGGCTGAGGACTAGACTAACTGTGAATAGAGAACTGGCACGATTAAAAACTTATTATAAGGTGGGCTCCTAAATCTTTATTTATTCAACCCAGCTGGTGATTTTTGTTAATGTGAACGATCAAACAGACAAAGCATTTATGGTTCATTAATTGTATCAAACGTCTCAGGCTGTCAATTCTGTTTCCAAGGTCCAAGTACAATATTGTTAAACTGTTGCTTCCTTTATAATTGGAATCTCCTCAAGGCACACTTTTTTTGTTACACTGTTTGAGGCTCTAAAAAGAGCTGAATTACCAGTATATTGTTGAATGCGTAGAGCTTTTGGTCTTCATGTACACACACAATTCTGAAGATTTTGTTATGCTGATCTATTTGTTTTGTAAAGCAAACATATTTGGGATGGCTTGGTAAAATGTTGGCAAATGTTGTACCATGTTGACAGTATCACTGAATGACAGCTTTTCTTTAACTACTTTACTTTAATGAAAATGTGGCTGTGACTCGGCTACCAGATGTCTCTCAGATCTGGCAACGTTAAAAAGTCTATAGTATTTGTTCAGACATTAAAATCAAAATCTAAGAGGTTGACATACCAAGACTTACAGGACTTACTTGTTGCATGACATACTGAGGCAATGGATTTGACCAAATACCGTGAGCTCACTATTATGTAGAGTGTGAAGCCATAATGTGTTCAGCTAATACAGTAACCTACAATGTTTTCTTTTTCTTGCAGTTCCTGGCTTTTATCTCCATCATCTTCATCATCATTTCCACCATCTCATTGTCCCTGAACACCCTGCCGGAGCTTCAGGTGGTGGATGAATTTGGCCAGTTCAATGACAACCCAAGCCTAGCCCACGTAGAAGCTGTGTGCATTGCCTGGTTCACCATGGAGTACATGCTGCGCCTTCTCTCAGCACCTAACAAGTGGGACTTCATCAAAGCCCCACTGAACATCATTGATTTGCTGGCAATCTTGCCTTACTATGTGACCCTCTTCCTAACTGAGTCTAACAAGAACGTTATGCAGTTCCAGAACGTGCGGCGTGTGGTGCAGATCTTCCGAATCATGAGGATCCTGAGGATTCTGAAGCTGGCCAGGCACTCGACAGGACTCCAGTCTTTGGGCTTCACTTTGAGAAGGAGCTATAACGAGTTGGGTCTACTGATTCTCTTCTTAGCCATGGGCATTATGATCTTCTCTAGCTTGGTGTTCTTTGCTGAGAAGGACGAGGATGCCACCAAATTCACTAGTATTCCCGCCTCCTTCTGGTGGGCTACCATTACCATGACCACTGTTGGTTATGGAGATATTTACCCACAAACCCTACTGGGCAAGATTGTTGGAGGGCTCTGCTGCATAGCAGGTGTGTTGGTCATTGCCCTTCCCATCCCAATTATTGTCAACAACTTCTCTGAGTTTTACAGAGAACAAAAGCGGCAGGAGAAGGCCGTCAAGAGAAGGGAAGCCCTTGAACGAGCAAAACGGAGTGGAAGTATTATTTCTATTAACCTCAAGGATGCTTTTGCACGCAGTATGGAACTCACAGATGTGTTGGTGGAGAAGAGGGAGGACAGTAAGAATCCGGTGGACAATCATATGTCACCCAGCCGATGGAGCTACCACAAACACTACACCAATGATGAGTCGTGTAGCCAAGGCAAGTCGCATTACCAGGAAGTGGCGCAGCAGGGCTCCCCTGAACGAGTCAAGCCTTTGCTTAACAAAACTACGCCTCAAAACCTCAGTGTAAATCTGCTGGAAGAAGCTTTAAACAAGACATCAACAATTAAGGAGCAGAAGAAGAAAATGTTGGAGGAGCAGATGGAGATGAAAACGCTAACCTCCACTCAAGCCAGACAAATTTCTCCTGAAGACTGCATGAAACTCTCCCATGTTGCTGATGATTTTTCAGTAGAAAGAAGGGGGTCCAGTGCTGAAGGGGGTACAACTAGTGCTAGACACCAGCGCATTCCCCCTCCCTTGAATCTAAGTCAGATCAGCACCATAGAAGGCAACACGGGCCCTGACAGCATTCAGCCAATGGCTGTCATTAAGGAGGGTTTGTATGAGTTTGTGTCCACCCCCAGAGGAACTGAGCCTGGAGATATGGGTGTGGACAGCTTTGGGATGACCTATGATAGCATCTGCAGCGCCAATCAAAATACAAAAGCCCTCAAGGTTGACTTCATTGGAGCTCAAGATGATGTGCTTATGGCGGTGATGACACCTGTAGCAACCTCAGCCCCCATTGGGTCTGCCAAGCTTGCCCAGCTGCTTTCTGACGACATGGTTTCAAGGTTCTCTCCCTCCTCCAGCTCCTCAACCATGGAAGCTAAGTCTCCGTTGGCGTTCCTGCAATCTCCGTCTCTGGTCCAGCAATCTGTCAGTCCAAGCAACTCTCAAGGGGGAGGTGAGGGCTCAGTAGCCAGGAGCTTAGAAGGTGAAGGGCAGCTAACAGGCGTAAGCCACCAGGGGAGGAATCACATGGAAAGGTCTGCTGTCGGCTCAGGCTCAAATTCAAGCCCTCTGTCTTCCAAACTCAGCCCGCTCAACTGCACCATGGAGCAAGGGACTTTGGAAGGAAGTGAGCAAGGAGGAGGGAGAGAAGAAGCAGATCAGAGCGGGGAGAAACAGGAAAATCACATTGTTCTGGGTAGAAGTGCAACACCACCCTGTGAAACAAGCATGTGAGCCAAAAACGAGAAAAGGTTCACAGATATAGAAGCCAAACGGGTGGGGAAAAGGTTGACGGGATCAATGGCAGCCACCACCCAGAATAAACCAGAACAAGTATTTCCAGGTGTGTGTTCTGCACCTGTTGACAAAGACAATGTGGAACACAAACAATGTTAACAAGACTATCAAAACAGTTGTAGTTTTTCTGGATCGATGCACCTGTCATACCCCACAAGACGTTTGGACTCTCATCGCTTTTTCAACAAGTACTGCTGTCCAGAGAAAGACGTTTCCGCAGTGTTGTCTCTTGGCTTTGAGGAAAGTCAGTAGCACATGCCCACTGTCTGGGTACTATCTGAAATACACTGTTTCATGTCAGTGTTTATGATATATTATTTGTAGACCAGACTGATATGCTGCAAAACAGTGTCATCTAAAACATCTTTTAGGGCTCAGATGTGAGCATAAACAAAGCCTTGTGTGAATGAGAAAATATAGACGTAAGAGAGTTTCTGCTTACAGCTCAAGAGGTAAGATTTACAGTTCATATTTTCGGTCTATTTCTTATAAACACCAAGGAAAGACAGAAGTTGTCTTAGCAAAATGTAAAAAGACTTGTAAAAAGGACAAGTCTCTATGTATGGGTCTTGCTTACCCATCGTTCTCAGTGTAGGTATTCCGTTATTGTAACGGTATCTAGATCAAACAAAAGCACATGGCAAAAGTACAACTTATGTATCTTTCTGTTTTTTTCTCCTTTTTCTATGATAGCTGAAACAGGGTCTTGAATGTCAAAGGGGAATAGAATAGGGATGCAAAGACAATTTAGAATTACAATTAAATTAATTAATTAATTCAACATCACTATTACACATACAGTAAGGGGACAGGAAGGAAAGCACACAAGGACTGTGGTTCACCAATAGCTCATGTGCGGGTCATCTCACATTGCCTGTGTCTAGATCAGGAGCTCCTCCTTCAGTGTCATGCTTTTCTGTATATGTTTCATAACAGGCCGATGTGGCTTCATTCAGAGGGAACCTCCAAATATGGCTGAGGGATGTGATCATCCTTTCCCATTCCTTTTCTGAATTGGCTGGCCTCTGGTGTGTTCCGTCCGTCCTCATAAACTCAGGAAGTTGATGAAGAGTGCCCAAACAAAGAATATGTTTTAGTCTCTGTGAGACTTCTTGCTTATTTAAAGATAATTCTGGTGTGTTACAACTTCTGTCCTGTTATAATTTTGACCTTCATTTCCTATCAGTTATAATGACTCTACAGCATGCTCAACAGTTTAATAGCTGAGAACTGGAACTCATTGACATCAAATATCCAACCAGTTCGAGAAACATGATCAGCCAACCTTCAATCACACCTGACAAAACCACCAATTCACTTTCAAGCTAATGGGGTCTATGACCCCATTTACACGGGAACGAAACGGGTTGTATCCGCATAGTTTCTCTTGCGTATAGCCCTTTCATTTACACGAGGCCGTAACAAAACGATAGAAACGGACCCCGCAAAAGATAACGGGTCCCAAGGTGGATAGATCTGCAAACGGAACGCTCTGGGGGGTCAAACGGCTCCGTGTAATCACCTCTATACGATCATTTCCCGATAGATGAAGCCATAGCCCCGCCTCTCCCCACCTCTGCTGCTCACTGCTGTAGCATGGTCAGTAGCTACTGTCAGTCGCTACTGCTAGTCCCTCATTCATGAAAGATTTCAAGAGAATGTCTGAAAGTGTGTAATTACCCCGTTTATACTTTTACTTCAGTACTCTCAATTTCAGAAAGACCGAAGAAAATTAGTTATTGAAGAGAGATCAGGCTTTCCCCCGGCCTTCAATTATGATCAAAAACGTGTATAAAGTAGTTTCTACTGAGCATACTAAACCCTTTAGTTTACCTCAAAATAAAAGGTTTGAGATAATCGGGTTAAACCGTTTTACTATGTGTAACAGGTCAGATCATCTCACTGTGTTTTCTTGACTTGTCGGACAATGTCACTATGCCCCCAGACCTCAGCAATTAACTTGATGATTGTGTTATCATAACCAATATGAAAGATGGCCAAAAGAACAGACATAAGACAAAGAGGTAATGAACTAATGAACTATCCTTTGAGGGAGGAGGTGCAGGTTCACCCTATTCACCTCCAAGACTGCAAAGGCTACACCATTTAGGCTCACTGAAGGAGGGGCCCCTGAACTCATGTGACTCCACAAACTGTGTATTGCTCTTCCCAGGTAGTTTCATATATAATGGCTCGGGAGGGTGGGAGGGTGAAGAGAAATGGCATGTGTCTTTGTGGTTTGTTTTGGCATGGCTGATGTATTGTGAATGTAGTATGAGATTTCCCTCTACAGGCATTCTTAAGGCACTTGAATGAAAGGACCTGATGCCTCTTGTGTAATCTTATTTAACGAATATACAGTATATGTGTATTAGTTCAGAATTGCATTCTCTTGAATGCATGCTGACACGCACATTTAATTGTGTGCACATTGGATTACTCACACACAGTTCAGAGTGAGTGTGTAGTGATGGGACTGTCACAGTGTGAATTCTAACTGTGTTACCAATTTTACTTACTCTCTCTAGATAAAGATGTCATAATTATCTTTGCAGTTAAAAACTAATTCATTGCATTTTTATAAGTGGAACTTGGAGCTATGTTGATGTTAACATCTGTTTATTAAAAAAATTGGTGCCTTTTCATAAATAGACAATTTATGAGAAGGTGAAAAAAAACGTGTACAATAACCCAGAGTTTATAGTTTTTGTTTTCCCTTGTTTTTTTCTCTGTTAATATGGATATGTTGATATGCAAATCCTCACATTCTCAGGTTTTGCATACATTTGCTTCGTGTTGTCTGATCAACTCCAGTCAGTCACCTAGTTTTCATGCAAGATAGTTCTTACCTCACTGTGCCACAATGTCATTTTTATTCAAGAAATGAAGCTTTTTGTGGAAAGCAGTAGCTTTATTTTTGTTCAGTAGGGACTTGGATCAATTTGGTGCTGCAGGAGTACTTTATCCTTTATCCTGTTCATTTAAACTGCAGCACTGTACTAAATGGAGTGACTTTTATTAGGTGTTGGTTTACCCACAACACAGAACCCCAGCATGTGGAAAATGAGCACAATTAGGTCATGTGACAACCACATAAACTTCTGTACTTTAGCTTTAGAGATGCAGTGTGAGACAAAAACACGACTCCCTTTTTAAAATGCTGTGTTTGAGATTTGTGGGAGTCCACGCTGGCCAGTTTAGGCTTTTCATCATATTTTAAGATTGCGAAGCACAAACAGGTCGAAAAACGCTGATGTGGCAATGCACACATTAGACTAACCTTAGTAGAAGGTTTTTTTAAATTCATACGTCAGGGTAGACGGTGTGCTTTGCTCAGATGAGGATGACTTAAAGGTGTCACTGTATATCCCTGGTTCATCTCTATCCTTTGCGGAAGAAATGCATACTGATTCTGATCAGATGCTGCACTTCTTTTACCCTCCTATGCACAGCCTCATCTCATCACAATCTTATGAAAAATGTCACTAAATCTCCATTTGTATTTGTTGTTTTAATCATTTGGGTTTTGTATAGTTATATAAACATACAATCATGCAAACCAGACTCATGTTGCTGTAAAAACCTGTTTCTTCTATCTCTAATCCATGTATTGTTTCTTTAATGTTTCACTCTTTCATCATCTACTTTGTTTCGTTAACAGTAGCCTGTGTATTGATTAGTCAGTTTATTTATTTGTAAGTCAACATAATGATTGTGAATGATAGGGACTTTCGATTCTGTTACCAATATGCAAGACCAATAAAGGTATATGTGACCTAATTGTTTGTGTGTTGTGTTATTTGTATGTGTATACTTTATTCGCCACTACATGTATTCCACAGCTGTAGTTATTTATGGGTCGAGCTTTTTCAAAGATGAAATATGATGAGTTTATTCAATGACACACTTGTATGAATTACTACAGTATATGCATGTTAATGTTGGGGCCATAATGACCTCATTACATGTTACAGTTGGGAACTTGTGGGAATATATGGTTCTAAAGGTTAATCATAGGCATACAAAACATGACTTCAAAATCCTACAGGTAATACCAATGAATCTCATTTAACTAAGTAATTAAGTCTTTACTTTAAAGCTATAATGATGATCTTAATGAAGATACAAGGAAAAAATATGTACATTTTTTGAAATTATAGTTCACAATTTATGACAAATCTTTCACCTAAAACAGTAGTCATAATCTTATTCAGTATGCCATAAGGATAATGTGTAACATATTAGAAATGATAGTTTATACACTATAACTATAATATATTATAACTGCATATTATAAGTGTGCGTAGATGCTTGACAGGTAAATCAAATATGAAAAGTTAGTATTGTTATATAAATAACATACATAACTACAAAACTTTGCCTAACCAGAACCGTTATCTTCTACTGCTGATACTGTATGTATATCTGTACAGTTTTTTATTTTATTATTTATTTTATCTTACTTCTTATTCATGTGCAATGTCTTATCTACATGCTGCTGTGAATAAAATATTGGGATCACTAAAGTATATCTAATTTTATCTAAAACGTCCGTTCAGAAACTGATGGATGACGTCACCTACGCTGCTACCATGTTTTGCTCCAGCTCGAGACAGATTCCGGTGTTTTCATTGGTCGAGCACCGCACTACTCACTGCACATTATTCCCTGCCGATGGTGTATTCACACAGCGTTATATACTGTCTATGGTTCACAGTACATTTAACGCCACTGGTAATACGTTACTGTGTACCACCAATAACCACCTTTCATTCCGTGATATTGACACTAGCTCACCGTAGCTGAGAGTGAATGGAGGCGGCGTGCAGAAGGAGCACCGTGAGGAGCAGCACCGGGACCGTGTTCCTGTAGCCCGGAGGTAGGCGGCCTCAGTCCCTGTCACACCGCACCGCTATCCACAGGGCATGGCTGTGTGTTTCTCCCGGGGAAAGAAGTGTCGGTGTTTGGCTACACATTCAGTAGCTAACGTTACATTCAGGTGTCTAGCTAGCTTCATCTTTGTATTGCTTCAGAACAGTGATGTAAAGTAACTAAGTAGCCGACATTTACTCAAGTACGTCCTTTACTTGAGTATTTCAATGTTACCGCGGTGAAGTTAGTTTTAGGTTGGATATTCGACAGACATTCGCGGACCAGCCAGCAGCGTCAGTTTACCCTGCTGCTGGCTGTATTACGACGGCGAGATCTCCGCGAAACGAGGCTTTCACTTAGGGACCATCAACAAATGACTTTTCAATTACACAAGAACAATGTTCTTTTAAATAAATCGACAACTTCCCGATCGTGTGAATATGAAACAAATCCACTCTAGAGCATACATTTGTTGAACACACCTATTTGTATTGCATTTTAATTAGGGCTGTCAGTCGATTAAAATATTTAATCGCGATTAATCGCATGATTGTCCATAGTTAATCGCGATTAATCGCAAATTAATCGCACATTTTTTATCTGTTCTAAATGTACCTTAGAGGGATATCTTTCAAGTTTTTAATACTCTTATCAACATATGAGTGGACAAATATGCTTTATATGTTTGTTTATTATCATTTGAACAATGACAAATATTCTCATGAATATTAAACACAACAACCTCTGAACATTGCAAATATTCGCTTCAATTCAACCTGGAACCTCTCTCATACAATAATACTGTGTGTGTGTGTGTGTGTGTGTGTGTGTGTGTGTGTGTGTGTGTGTGTGTGGTGTGTGTGTGTGTGTGTGTGTGTGTGTGTGTGTGTGTGTGTGTGTGTGTGTGTGTGTGTGTGTGTGTGTGTGTGTGTGTGTGTGTGTGTGTGTGTGTGTGTGTGTGTGTGTGTGTGTGTGTGTGTGTGTGTGTGTGTGTGTAGACACTGTGATGGATCGTTGGAGCTATGTGCAGCTCAAGGCATATATGCTCCAACGGGAGCTGCCTGGATGCTGCAATCATGTTGCGCGTACTATCCGCGCTGAGTGTGCTGACTTTTCGTACAATGTCCCACTGTCTGGCTACCTGCATAAAGTCAAGTGCTCGGCGCAGTTGTCGGCGAAATGTCATTGAAACAGCTCCTTATATCCGTTAGCGCAGCTAGCTAGCACCAGATGCTAACAACAACACGTAAGGTGTGCCTCGCTCGCGCGAGTCGCACCACACACACACATACACACACACCCTCCCGGTCCTCCCGATGGCCAGTCCGGGCCTGCCAGTGAGCGTGGAAGTGTGGTCTGCCACAAGCGGGCGGTAGGAGCGGGGCTGTCAGCATCAGCTTGTAGATGGTATTTTACACTCGATGCGCTCTGAAACTACGGCGACCGAGGACAAAAAATACACATGCGTTAATCGCGTTAAAATAATTAGTGCCGTTAATTTTTTTTTGCGTTAACGCGTTATTAACGCGTTAACTTGACAGCCCTAATTTTAATACTTTAAATATTTTTACATTAAAGGTGGGGTAGGTACGTTTGAGAAACCGGCTTGAGATACACTTTTTGTTATATTCCATGGAATGCTCTTAACATCCCGATAGCAATGAATATCTTAAGTGCTTTGACAAAAAATCCATAAAAAAATGTCATCTGTGGAAGCCGTAGTACTGTAAAAAGCACGATCAATCATTTTAGCCGGCCCGGGCCGCTTCTCTGGCGCGCACCAGACGACAGTTTGTTACATTGTTTCATTTTTCAGAAGGTTTGGTTTGCGTTCACAGAGGAAAAATTAAAACGGACTATAAACTTTAAACACAAGTCATGTGCTCGGAAATGCTGTTCAATAATTGGTCAGACATTAAGGGGGTAAAAACGCAAATCCCGGCAATTTCTACCGGAGCCCCCGCCATGGAGCATCGGCAGATTATTCTCATGCTGCTGTTAATCTGGAGAGCATATCAACAGCAACGGCGCATATGATTATATAATCAGACAACGTGCGATACAAAACATTATAACACATAGGCCTATAATGAGAGACGTTCTGCAGTAAGGAGGGGGTTTCACCGATGGCAGGTGGCTCTGAATTTTATGTATAGTTTTTAGTTTGATAGTTGTTTTTACTTTACACGACACTGTTCAACCTGTGTTCAACACATGAAGACAAAAATGAAGACACCCGCGTTCTTCTGACACGTAAATACTACGCTTCCTGTGTTTTGGTGCGCAAGCAAGCTTTCCGAGACCACCTATTTTAGCGGACCAGAGTCCGGTTGTTTAGTTCAGGGGTTCCCAACCTTTATTGTGCCAAGGACCGGTAGATACATTAAAAAAAAATCGCGGACCGGTTGTCAATTTTAACTGATTTTAATATTTACTCACCACCAGCAGGTAGCAACAGAGGCTAATTGTATGTAACAGCCTGAACAAATACTAGAACAATATGCATCCAAAAAATATTAACAAAGTTTAAAAAATAACCGGTGTTGTTTTTTGGTTTTTCGGAAAACCAAAAAACCGACGTTATTCAGTTTTTAAACCAAAACGGGAAAACAGATAAATCAACGTTTTGGTTTTGTTTGTATGATTTACGGATAATCCAGTGAATGCTGGGAAAACGAGGAGAAGGTGCATTATGAAGGAGATGTCCGGTCGCCAGGGTGTGTGTGTGTGTGTGTGTGTGTGTGTGACAATGGCATTTGTTTTCAGAAGATATTATGATAGTGTCGTTCGTTCCGGTGCACTCCCGACAGTTTAGCACGACATCGAGATTAAGATTAAACTAATTTATTTTGGGAACAGCCGCATATATGCCGGTGTCGGACAGACACAAACACACCGAACACACAGAGCTGAGCTGAGCAGAGCACATACACACACATGCGCCTTGGTGACTGACTGGACATCTCCTTCATAAAACTAATAAAAGGGGGAGTAATCGGGCAGTTCGATGTGTGTAGATGTGTGTGTGGTTAACACGTAGCAGTCTGCAGTCACTCTTAAACTGTTCTGATTAAGTTAAACACAGCGAAGGCGGTGCGTAAAAAGGCACAGCTCTTTACCGAGTACGTCCCGCTGCCTCCTGATGCTGCAGCCAAATCATGAAGTGAAGGAGGGTTTCCTTCTATAAAACAGCTGCGGGCAGCAGATACCGTGAGAGTCCCGGACATTAATTCATAGATCAAGGCAGACTGGTTTACTCTCCTGTTTTGCCAATCCGGTGCTTAAACAAATAGCTCCCTCTACATCCCTGGCCGACATGTCCTTAAAATGAAGTCCGAGTTTGAAATATATCTCAAATAATGTATGCACCACCATTTCCCCACATAAACATAACAGTCTGCAATCAAACGGTTGTCTCCTGTGCGCTCCTCTTCCTACTTGGCGCACCGGTAACATGCTCGTGCGCACAAGAGGCTGAGACCTTAGGCTGAGCCGCCGAATCCCTCGGAACATCATAAAAGCCATTTTCAACGGTTTTCTGGTGAAAGATTAACTAGCTACTGGATGAAATAATATGACTGGTGGCATAGGTGCGAAAATTAAACACTTTTTGAAAAAAATATTATGATAAAATATTTTTATATATTTATAATTCTGCAAATATTATGATAAACTCACAGCTATTTCGCGGCCCGGCAGTAACACCTCTGCGGCCCGGTACCGGTCCGCGGACCGGGGGTTGGGAACCCCTGGTTTAGTTCACTTCAGAGGTCTCGGATTGTGTTCACACCGACCCAAATGAACCGCACCAAGTGGCTAAACGCACCAGGGTTCGATTCAACCGGACTATAAACGGCTGGTGTGAACGCACCCTTAAACACCGTAAGTGTAACTGAGGACCACTGCTCAGGTGTAACATTAACTTCACTAAAACCATGAGAAATGAAAGACCTGGTGATGAAATCTCTACCTCCTGCTTCTTGCCAGAGGTCTAAAGCTTTCTTTTTCTTGCCTTTGTTGAAACGCACCATTTTTAGATCAAACTATGTGATCTGGTTTCTAAAAGGGCTTCTCTTACCTCATTCACACCAACGGTGTTTCAGGGCCGGTTCGGAGCTGGAGCTTGAAAAGCACCGGGTTTTCCTGTTCACACCGCAGCGGAGCAGCCTCTTAGCTCCGGAATCCGGTTTGTTTCAAGCACCAAAAAATTGTCCGGCTAGAGCAAAAGCACCGCATACGTCACGCTTACGTCGAGGGGCAGGGGCGGGATCAACTCCTGAACAACAACAAAAAGCCAGCGTTTTATCCAGTTTGTACACAACGATGGAGAAACTTAACAAGCAGCAGTGGTCCACTGAAGAGACCAGCTACCTACTGGGAATCTGGTCTTCCGAAGAGGTACAGAGGAAGCTGGAGCACAATCGGCCATTGTTGTTGTTGTCCGTGTGAGCTGTGAGGGGTTTCGGCGCGGTTTGGCTTTATGAAGCAGGCACGCAAACGGTTACATCATGACGCAAACGATGACGCAGTCACGCAGCACCAGTCGGACTCTGGGCGGTGTGAAAAGAGCCGGAGCTAAACCTGAAAAGCTCTAGCACGGAGCTTGAACCGGATTTGCGTTGGTGTGAATGAGGTATATGTCACATGAAAGAGAAGCTGTTAAAACAAAATTCAGTGTGACATTAGGTCACATCAACGTGAAGCCATTGAAAAAATAAACTGAATATTCCATAAAAATTAGTGATGCTCCGATCGATCGCCACCGATCGATATCGGCCGATACTCACTCTCTGCCGATCGATCGGTGCTCTCTAAAAATGCCGATCGTGAGAGCCGATCGCATGACGTAAAATTATGACGTAAAATACATGACACTTTTCTCTGTGCGCGGCAAAACAAGCTCGCCAAAATGGCTTCACCAGTCTGGCAGTATTTTTAAGGTGTCCGAAAATGACAATAAAATAGCGGTATGCAACGTGTGTGAAGCAGAAATCCTGCAGCTCCACC